CAGTCACACGTTATTTGATGGAAAGCTTGAATAAAATGTATTTCCATTGTCTGAAGTTTCATTTCTTTGCTGTGCCTTTTAAAACATGTTTACATGCTGTTATTCTCCTGATCGTTTTCCCTACAACAAAGTTAGCTGCTAGCCAGCTAACGTTGACATGGCTCCAGTGACCTCTAAAGATTTTTTTTAAACAGTCATATAAGAAACACTTAGAAGTTTATAAAACACATATATTTCAACAAGAATTAGAACTAATAATAAGTTTGTTTTTTATACCTGTAAAGGAAACGAAACCTTCCCAGTATTCACTCTGCAGCACCGTGTATCTGACGTGCGGTGACAGAGTTGTCACGTGACGAAGTCTGGGCGCATGCGTCAGTTACGGCCTCCGCGTACACGTCGCTACGCCGCGGACATGGCAGGAGTTGGAGGTGTGCGGAGAAAGTCTCCCGTTTCCCCGTCCCCGCTGTGGGGGAAACTCCATACGCTTTGGCAGGACAAGTATTTGCTCTTGTTCAAGACGGAATACACCTTGCTGGTGGTTTCAGTTTTGTGGTTCCTGGAGATCGGCATCAATGTGTGGGTCATACAGAAAGTAGCATGTAAGTAGCTGGTCGACTAGTTAGCACGCTATTGTATTTTGACGTTTATCTGAACGCGGCTGAAGGCTAAGTAGCTAGCGTCAGAAAAGTATTAGCTTTGCCTGCCACCTGTCAAAGGGAATTTACTGTCACTGCATGACCAAATACAATGGTTTACTCTCTCCCAACGTCAAATAACGTCCATTACTTTTAAGACTATATACAACCAAAGGTAGCTGTTTCAATAGTAAATACAAGAAGTAAACTTCTAAAGGCAAAGTAACTGCTCACTTTTTACACGTCCACATACAAGACGGAACTGCAACAGAAAAATACCAATAATATTTTCTCCTTCTTAAATTGATTGTTTGTTCTGGTTGAGTTGTCTTTTCCAGAACCTATCGTCATCACTGAGCATGACTATTGAGCATGCATCAAGATATTCACATCCACATCATCGTTATTATTAATATTATTATGTACTGCAGACACTGAGATCGACTGGAAAGCATACATGGATGAAGTGGAAGGAGTTATCAATGGCACCTATGACTACACCCAGCTGAAAGGGGACACAGGCCCTTTGGTGTGAGTTTCAAAATGATGTAGTTCTCTCCATACCACGCTTTTCAGTGCAGGTCTCCTAGATAATTTGGAACACTGTTGTTGTAGGTACCCAGCTGGGTTCGTCTACATCTTCACAGCTCTCTACTACATTACCGGCCATGGGGTGAACATCCGTCTGGGCCAGTACATTTTTGCTTTTTTCTACCTCCTCACACTGCTGCTTGTCTTCAGAATATACTATCGCACCAAAAAGGTGAGCCTAATGTTAATACTAATGTGCCAGGAACCCTATATATTAAGCAGCATGTCATTTTGCTAAAACGCTCATGGAATTCAACTTTTATACCCTACAGAAACAAAATTTAATGTTATTTTCAGAATATTCTCACACATTAATTCATTAGTTTTCTGTTGCATATCTGGCTCTGGGTTCCAGGTCCAGAACCACAAAAATACTGAGACCTCCCTTTTCCTCTACTTGCAGCTCTTCTTTTTCTGAGCCACTTGCAGAATTAATCTCTTTAGCGTTTCTTCTAATAATTAATCTCACAAATAATTAAATCTCCTTCTTTTTTTTCTCCAGGTTCCTCCCTATGTGTTCTTCTTCGTGTGCTGTGCATCCTATCGGATCCACTCCATCTTTGTGCTCCGTCTCTTTAATGACCCAGTGGCCATGATGCTGCTGTTTGCAGCTGTCAATCTCTTCATAGATGGATACTGGACTCTGGGCTGTGGCCTCTACAGGCAAGTGTGCACTCTTCTTTAAAGCGGATACTCATTTATTGGCTTCCCCTAAATCAACAAGTGGCACCTGTACATCTGTAATGTGTTACATACCTTCTACATTGTCATTGTTAATTTTTCCTGAGAGTAGCAAGATGAAATTACAACTCAATCTTTTCCTCTTTCTGACAGTTTAGCAGTATCTGTGAAAATGAACGTGCTTCTCTTTGCCCCTGGATTACTTTTCCTCCTCCTGTCAGAGTTTGGTCTAATGAAGACGATCCCCAAGTTATCGCTGTGTGCAGGCATACAGGTAAATATACACATTAAAACAGGTACAGCTTGACTGTAGTACTCTGTCCACAGTAAATTTTAGCAAATGACTGTATTTTGCTAACATCATCTCTTTCTTTATCTTATGTGGCAGGTTGTGTTGGGGCTCCCTTTCCTCCTAGAGAATCCCGTTGGTTACATGAGCCGTGCCTTTGATCTTGGCCGCCAGTTCATGTTCAAGTGGACGGTCAACTGGCGCTTCCTGCCAGAATGGCTCTTTTTGAATCGCTACTTCCACTTACTCCTGCTGGCCGCTCATCTGCTCACCCTGCTGCTCTTTGCCTTCCGCCGCTGGAAGAGGTGAGATAGACTTTGAATGTGCCAGGGATACACTGGGAACACTGTTTTCTTTTTACATTTATAAATGCTTTGCATGATAACATACTGATCAAAACCACATCATTATGACAATGCATGACAGGTGTCATGAAAAAATGGAAGGCGATTTCAGCAGGATTGTCACTACTTTATACTCTGCAGAGATATTTAGGCCACAAGGAAATGCAATTGATTTCTAGTAACAGCACTAAATGGTTGTTGGTATTTCAGGGTTCTCATCAGTCAGCAGCGGAAACCTTTTTATGTTTTACTAATACACACGTACCTCCTAGATCTCTAAAATGGCAAATAACCATATTCTGTCTGTGGCACCAGACCAGGAGAAAGCATCTTTGAACTTCTAAAGGAACCAGGCAAGAGGAAAATCCCAGCTCAGAAAAGCACTGTGGATCATATCCTTTTGTTCCATTTCAATCTACTCCTGTCTTTAATGTGAAATATATTTTTAAGTAAGTCTGTTGTTAGATGTTAATATGAATCTGCAGGCCTTGTTGACAGAATGAAAAAAATCATACAGAAAACTCTTCTCAGCAAGATTTGTGGATCTTAATTATTTTGAGTAACTGGGTCAAGATTTCTGGACAGAGAACCAAAAACTTAGCGCTTAAAGTTCCACTGTATTCAAGAGGAGACAGACATAGAGTCACAGGAAAAGAAGGTTTTCTCTTCCAAAACTCTGCAAAAACAAAAAAACTTGTGGTGCTACTTGTTGTGGGAAACCTGGTGACAAGTGAGCACCTGAAATTAGCTTTGCTTTGAACATTCTCTTTACAGGACACAGGACATGGTAAAACAATGCTTAGCAGATTTTTTCATATGATCTTCCAGACATGCCTTTTTTTTGTCCTTATCTGAAAATCACAGATTGTGCTGATTCTGTTCACCTGTAACTTCATTGGCATGTGCTTCAGTCGCTCATTGCACTACCAGTTTTACGTCTGGTACTTCCACTCGCTGCCTTACCTGCTGTGGAGTGGAGGTGTCAAGAAGCTGGCCCATCTGCTCAGGTGAGACAGAATCACAAGTCCTGAAGCATAGCACCTCCCTGAACACTCTGCCACATCTTAATGAAAAACTGTTTTATTTTTGCATGCAGGGTCCTGATCCTGGGTCTGATCGAGCTTTCGTGGAACACCTATCCCTCTACTAACAGCAGCTCAGCTGCCCTTCACGTCTGTCACCTCATCATCCTGTTATGTCTCTGGCTAGCTCCACCTTTGCTTTCAGCTGCAGCAGAAACACAAGAGCAGAAAGCTGTAAAGGACAAACGCCACTGAGCCCCGGCCTGATCGGACCAGAAGTATTATTCGGCTGAATCAGCTGATGACAAGCCCGCTCCATCCTCCTGTCTTTGATCCTGACAGCACCAGTGCAAAGGGCGGTCGCTGTGGTAGACTGTTTATAAGTGAATTAAAGGAGCCATTTAAAGCTTCTCACTGCTTAAAGTGAAGGATGCGTCATGTGTGTGCAGACTGATGCCCACACGATGGAATAATATGCAGTTGCAGAGATAAGAAGAGAAAATAAGAATTCTCTGGTTTAGTTTTAGATAGAAAATAAGAAGAGTGGAGGCTATGAGAATGTCATGGATGTTATGCTGTGTGGAAAGAATTGATTACATGAGCTCTATTCCCACTTACTGTGGTACAACTACACTCAGTCCATAATTCCTCTGGTCTAGTCATGTAGGCTGATATCATCTCAAGTTTTTATTTACTGGTGCTCAGATGATCGTATATTGAAAGTGTCAATAATGTGCATAAGAACTTGAACGCCAAGCTTTAAAATAACTGCATAGCAAGCGTAAGCTTGTGGCATTTCCTCTGCCACAGTTATGAAACATAAGTATTCTCTATCGAAGGGGATGTTTTTTTGTATTTTTACACAAATGTGTAAAAGTCAGCTGTGGACAATCAGTCTGTTTGTCTGATTTCTGTAACTTGTCATCCTCTGTTGTGAGTGGCCGCACTCATAGATGGATTTAATGTGAGAAACATGCAGTAGACTGAAAAACGGCAAATGGATTCTACTAAACCCGTGTGGTCGTCATTGTTACACAATACAACAAATGGTTGAATTTTAGTGTTTTTTATTATTTTTACCAACAATCATTTCACTGTTTAAAGCTCATCTTTGTTTAATTTATCAAATAATCATCTTGATAATCAAAATCTTCATTTTACAGTAACTGTGATTACATATTTGGTATAGTAGTATATTATACTGGCTGCAAACTAAAAGCTAGACTACAAAAAGCCCATTTAGATGATAAAGGCATATTTGTGATTGCATAAAGCACACTGATCATAAAAGGCCCCCTGGTCTATGGCATGTAGTATTAGAATGAACTTGGCACTGCCTAAGTTAATAAAACACGATTTTTCCATGTAAAGGCATTTAGAGTCACTATCGTTGGGAAATGGTGAGAATGCTAACAATCAGAGTTGGCTTGGTTTCCTCTGAGACGATTATCTCACATATTATTTGGGTTATAACACAGCATGTTCAGCTGAATGTTCTCATCCCAGTGGCGCAGCAGCAGGAACAGCTGTCTGGCTGCTCCCTTAAGCCCTGCCATGTCCAGTCCCTCGGGCAGCTTCTGACAGCGCAGCCATGAGTCTGCTTTTGCTGCTACCAGTTCCCACTCCATAAAGTAGCCGGCACACCGGTGCTCTAGCCACGCTAGGGCCACAGCTGTGGCCCAAGTTGAGCCCTCCAGATCCTCTTGAGCCAACTGGCTGCTCCCTTGGAGGTAAGCTTGCTCAGGTGTAGAGCCTTCATATATATCTGTCTCTGACCCACGGCCACTGTCTGCTTGGCCGAGGTTCTGGTTCTGAAAGGGGCTGATGGATAACTCCAAAGAACCCTCTTCAGAGCTGGGGAGGTCAGTGGGAGAGGTGACAGGGTCTTGTTCAGAGAGGTATCTTCGGCGAAGCCTCGATTCCAAAATTAGGGGAGTATCATCTGGAGTGTGGTGGAAAGGTGGAATGGCTTGTCTGACAAAGGAGCAAGCGGAAGGAGAGAAGGTAACGTGGTGACCAGAGGGAGCACCAGGAGGTTTGGCACTAGTGGACAAGGATGGAGCACTGGGAGATGTGCAGCGTAAGGCTGGGCTGAGACTACGGCGGTGGAGACTGTATGGCGATGCTCTTTTAAGGCGGTCCAGAGGAATCTGGACACAGTCAGAGTAGATCTCAGTCAGAAGAAAAGCTCCTGATGCCAGCTGCAGACGAACCTGAGGAGTCATAACAGACATGGGTAATGAGCACACTTGAAGATGAGTGCACAGTATTACAATGCTGCAAATGCACTTTGCCTTTAACGTGGCAGTGTTTCTCTTTTGCACACTATTTGTCATAGCATGTGGTTTAACTTTCCAAAGTTCTTCTGCCTTTAAATGTTGACTGACTCCAGGAGTTTGCAGAATGAATTTGGGAGCTGATGGTATGTATTGTGTGCTGGGTAAACAAATAAAGTGGACACAACTTTAGCACTTCACTGTTTTCCATGTTGGCACAGCTCACCAGGGGCAGGTAGTCTGGAGCTTCACTTTCAGGATGTTTCTCAGTCTCGGCAGATAAGCAGTGGGACTTGACAGGCACCTGCTTTCCTGATGAAATGGAGGACCTGAGCCTGCCCAGCGGGAACCTGGAATTAAAAAAAACAAAACAGGTACGCTAAAAAAAAAAAATCTAACATTTAAAGAGAGTGCAATTTGCCAGTGGAGATGTGGGAGTTGTGCGTACACCCTTGTGGTCTGCATGTCATTATAACACTGCTGTTTCAGTGAGAACACTACCGCTAACTAAACAAAAGACAAATTACATGGATTCAGTGTCAGATTTAACAGGAGCCTCGCAAAAAAGAAATCCTATGAATACTTCCGTATAATCTACATCAGAATTCACTACAACGGTGAGTTTTGCAACAACTTTTGACAATTTGCAGTTAGAAACCTTTGTTGTGATGGGAGTCGCTAAAGACATGTCACGTGTAAGGGTTGTTGGGTTTGAATTAGCGTGCAGCTGCAGTGAACAGCCATATGCCTGCGTGAAAAGATGAACCCTGACCTGAACAACATTCACTGCATCAATCACGGTTAGAACCTACAGTCTGTGCTGTATGAGTTCCAGGGCCGAGTTGTTTTCACATATTTATTAACTCCTACACTTCAGTAAATGGCCCATCATTCACTCTCAGGACATTTACAGATGTGGGTAAACAGAGTGGTGATGCTGTGGCTCATTTCTTACATTTAAGTAACATGTGCACAAACCGGAGTGTATACATGAACAACTTTAAAGTAGGAGCTTTTCAAGAAACTACAGTATTTGTTTTCGTGTCTTACTTCTTAGGAGTTTTTAGCGCCTTTTAGTCCTTTCATGCTGTTTATTTTATTGCATCTTTGTCAGTCTCACACAAACTGTTAAAAGAGTTTAATATGAAAGTCTTACCTGGTGCCAAAGAAGCTCTCCATTGACTTGCTCTCTATAGATCGCTGTGAGCGAGTGCTCGGGGTGCCTGTTGCCATGGCTGTAGTGTAGTAGGAGCTGCCCCCTACACCTGGGATGACATTAAAACATTAAATTGTATTGTTTTATCAGCTCAGTGATAAAAGTGGTGTTTTCTGATTGTGCTTAAAGGCTCAGCTCATCCAGATTAAACAAAACTGATCAGAGGTATTTTACATGGATCTGGAACTAAATGAATAAAAGCAAATATGTCTGTGCGATTGGATACCAATAAAGTTAAGGAAGATTTATTTAGATGAACTGATCCTTTAAGAGCTTCTTCACAAGTTGTGTGTGTAATGGAGTCGGGGGAGAGGGGTCCTCCTTTTTCTCCTTCTCACCACAGCTTTCTCTTCACCAGAGTTTTCCCTGAGCGAACGGACAGCAGTACTTACTAGAGTCCCAGGATGTTACACTACAGGGTGAGGCAGGAGTGTCATCTCTGTCTGAGAGATACAAAGATTGTTGATGACCTAAAGTCTTGATAACAGAAATGGGTGCTGGCATCATTCGGTCGTTCTTACCTGTAGAGTTCCAGGTGTCTTCCACCTCTGCACTGTCTCCAGTGGTGTGCCGTCTGCCCAGACCTACAGAATAAGTCCTCTGCCTACGAATTCCTGACTGAAAAGCCTGCCTGTTTCCCAAATGTAGCCCTGCAGACACACACAAATAAACAGAACACAATGTGGACCCTTAAAAATATCAACTGAATCCAACAATAAATAAAAATAACATTTAAAATGGTGCTTCTGTAATTCACTTAGCACTGTTTTCCTTAAGTTAGAGAATTCAGAAGAGCTATTGATTTTCCTTCCGTCTGTCCGTCCATCCCTCCATTATCCACATCAAGGTCAGGGGGATCAGACACAAATATAGAATTATACAGACCTGTTACTGCCAAAGTCTTTCAAGCTGCATGCTCTAAACTTGCATACACATAAAACCAGGCTTCAAAGAGAAGACAAATTCTAATGCTTGATTCCTCATAACACCAATGAGAAGATCAGGATTGTTCTTTACAGATATCTTATTATCATTGACAAGTAAACAAAACTTCCTGGATGAAAGTTGAGCTGAGAGTTTATTCTGTGTATGTGTGTTAGTGGGTGGCACACCTGTGGTTTGCACATCCATGTCAGCCAAGCCTTTGTTGGGATTGCTGTCAGTGGTGGTGAAGGCTGTGTACATACAGATGATGTTACAGTGCTTACTTGTCTGGATAGCCTTTGTACGATATCGCTTCGCTGAGCCTAAGAAGCCATCAAACAGAGGAATAGTAAGAGATGCACAGTAGTTTGGAGATAACAGCACATTAATCAGTAGGAAAAAGCAACCGGTAAACCGCCCACCATGTCCAATGTCGCTCTCTTTCTCTGCCATTTTCTCAAAGTCTCTTATAACTGAGCGAGCGGTCAGTTGGTGAATGATCTCCTGGCACAATTTCCCTCCTCTTCCTTCTTCACCTCCCCTTCCATATACCCCACTTACTTCAATGTCCTGACTCTCAGGGGTCCAGAGGTGCCCCAGGTCTACAGTGACCTCCCAGGACACAGGCCTGCCACTCAGGACACCATGAATAAGGGAACGGCACTGGCCTGGGGGAGGACTGTCAGGCGGGACAGCAGCGAAGAGATACTCTGGATCTGTGAAACTGTCCCAGTCCAGAGGGGAGGCGGGAAACAAGAGTCCATCTAAGGGGCAGAGCGAAAAATAGGATAGAAATTTTACGGGACTGAATAAATAAATATGATCCTATTTTCTTTGCAGTGAAACTTACTGGAGTCGGTGAGGCTTCTGTGGGACGCTGTCCCTCGTGGTGTTGGCTGTGTCTCCGCGTCACTTTCTTCCAGCTTCCCTCCCAGTGTTTGGTCAAAGGAGACCCTCTCCAGAGCCCTTCTCAGCCGATGCATCTCTAATTCACCCTGGGGGGACGAAAAACTTCGCGCTGCCATCGTTGAACGTGCTAGTGCTTTTTGTCTCCTACGAGACTCCTCAGCTCCATCCAGACACCCGTTCTGGTTGTAAAAGGGGGACAAGCAAAGAGAAGTAGGTTTGGGTATCATTTTGCTTTTCTCTGCAGTATGTTAAGGTCATTAGATTGAAATGTATTTGCCATGTTGCAAGAATAACTTTGCAGCAACCTCCTGTGATATACTGACTGTGTGCTTCAGCTGTGCATGACTCAAATAAGCAGTCTTTTTAATTTATATGATCTTTCTTCCAAAGGAAAGATAGAAGTTTATAGTTATATATAGTTGTTATATTTTCATGTCTTGTTTTGTCTGTGTGTTCCCAATTACTTACTAAATTCCCAAAAAAAAGTCTGTCAGTCTTTAGTCTTACTTTTTTGGTCCCGCTGTCTGGGGATTTGACTGAAAGGTCTTGCTGCCATGATGAGTCTGCCCAGCGAGACAGGGATGATCTCTGTTCTGGAGGGGGCATCTTCTCGAGGCCTTGGGGCAGAGACCCTGTATCGAGCACTGGACCAGAGCAGTGACAGCTGGAGAGAAAGCCCCCGTCAGAATTTGAGGCATGTATGTGAGAGTGGGACTGCGTTTGTAGACTTCGTTCACTGCTGAGTGAGCAGCGAGTGAGGATGTACTGCTCCTGAATGTAAGAGCTCTCCTGGATCCTCTTCCTCACATCGCTGGACCAGTCCAACTCCACACCTATAGTGGACAAAAGCCTGTTGTTAGCCACTGTGGTTTAAAGTGTGCTGGCAAATGCAAATGTTCGTGATGAGTGACCAACCTGGACTGGTGCCTGTGTCTGTGTCTTTGGCACAGGAGAACTCAGAGGATATCTCTCTAGAAATTTCCCTCAGTGCTTCCTCCAACTCAGTGCCATCTGCACATGTCACCACAGGCATGAGCTCAGAGGCAGGAGGAGGTGAAAGCTCATCGTTCGACTGGCCAAAAACTGAACCCGTAGAACCACGAAGTAAATCTTTGTAGCTCTGTTCCTGAAGCAAAAAAATAAAATGCAAAGATTACATTTAAAAAAATGGTACAGTACTGTGCAAAAATATGGGGCCAACCCTCACTTCTGCATATTTTGGTAGAAAAACTGGAAATGGCTTCAGCAATGTATTAAAATATACATGTACAAAAATACAGCTTATAAAGCAAAAAGAAAGAGTTTGAAACTCATTAGAATTCTACAAAGTCAATATTTGGTATGACGATCTTTTTTTCTCCAACATAGCCTGAACTGTCTTTGGCAGCGTTCTCATAGGTTCTCTAAGTAATCTTCAGGAATAGGTTTCCAGGTGCAAAAATAATACTTTATCCCTGCCAAACTGTGTTATCTTTGACATTTGTCATAGATTCAACTAAAGGAATGGGAACAAAGTGCCTAAAGATACAATTTAACATTTGTTCTTTGCTAAGTTGTCTGTTATGTGGAGACACAAGACTGGTTCATCCATTTAGTTTGGTGTGTTATTTATGATTGAATGATTCATAGGTCAGTTATAGCTCTAAAGTTGGTCAGCTACAAGGACTGGACTAACAACGAGCGAAAAATCAGCAAATGTCCAAAGATAAACTCTGCAAGAGTTTCAGAAACCCTGGAGAACTCTTGCTCAAGAACACTGTAAAAATACAATAACATTTGACTCACTTGAAGCAACATAAACAAATAAGTGCTGACTTAATATTTTACATGGTAATGCACACAGAGTAATACCTCTGCCTTTTTTGCTTTGAAACTGGTCATGTCGTAAAGCGTGCAGTATCCTATGAGGCGGTTCCCGGGGTAGAGTGGAGGGATTTCATTGGGTGTAAGAAGAGCCTCCATGTTTTCTGGCAGATACCAGTCGATCCGTACGTCAGTCAGAACAGGTTCAAAGGCCTTCTTCAGGGGCTTGATTAACTGTTGCAGAAATGGGGAGAAGAAGTAAACGTATCAAACTAATTAAAAAAACACTTTTTCCGTGATTTGTCATAAGCTAAAAAATTGGTAAACTTAAACTTATACATGTATATCTTCAATGGCTAACAGTTGTTAAACTAACTATAAAAGCCATACTATGAAAATACTAAAGTAAAATAACTCTAAATTATACTTAAATGCTTGAGTAGTTATTACACTTTACGACTGCTAGTTGCTTTTCTCTATGCTGAAATGCTAATGTAATGCCCCAAGGTTTACATATGTATTCTTTCAAGACTTTGCTTTTAATTAATTTGCAATTCTTTTCACTCCAATAGGTGGCAGTGCTGCAGCGCTGCTGACCTTGGGCTGGAGTCTCTCCTCATCATCCAAGAACTCTGTAGTCCCTCCTGTCAGTTTGGCAACGCCCTGCAGGAGTCTCCTGCAGGCTCGTGGACCAAGGCCTAAGCCAAAGCATCTGCAAAGGTGATACAGTGTGTACATTACATTTTTATCACGTCACAAGAGAAAATTTAATTATGATATTAAATTGTGGATGATTTTCACTGTTTGTGTTATAACAGTTTATTTTTTATGTCTATTGAAGTAGCCTGAAAATAACCTAAAATGTTGCTTCTATGTCGCTTACAAATAGAAAATGTAGAGTCATCAAACAGACACTGGTGGAGATCACCAGCCATTTGGCTAGCTAAGAGTTTAAATGGCTCAGGGGACGGAATAATCGAAAAAGGCTGAGTTCTTGAGCAGCAGTCTTGCTGGCTAAATATGGAAACAGAAGCTCAAAATGATGTACAACACCTTCTCAGGTGCAGACTGCAGTGAGATGGCAATCTAATTTACACTGGGCAGAATTAGATGTTTTCCATAAGAATAAAGAAACGAACAAACGTGTTCCTAGTTTGCTAAAGGACAGCGAAAAATTACAGTGGAGAAAGTCAGTCCGACAGGCGAATACTAATAAGGCATAAATGAAGTCATTCTGCATCTGGGGAAAACCAGAGGGGCGTGACTCTTACTGCAGAGGAGAGCACTTAACGGGATTACTGGGCGGGGCTGAAAAATACTTCAAGCCTTTCTTGTCTTTCTTCCACAGAGATTTGCTCTCAGGTCTTTATGATCACTGTTTGCTTGGGTCCACGCTCTGTTTCTCTTGCTGTCCTCCCCCATATACTGTCTCTGTCATGTCATTCACCTGGTTCTGCCTCCATTCACTCTCCTTTACTTATCTCCTGCTTCCTAACCTCACTGATTTAATGGTTTATTTAATATTGCATTTTTATTAACCAGCTGTTGCAACTATTGTCAGTTTTATCTGTCTGTCATGATAGATAACTAGCTGCTCCCTCTGTACCCTCCTTCGCACATAATATCCATACCTGCCAGCACACGCGTTTCTGCGTACTAGCTCCAGCACTCTAGCTACATTGCTGATGGATCCATCTGTAATAATAAAGACCTGGCGAGGGTACGAGCGCTGCATGGGCTGTTGATAGACCCAGAAGAGCGCCCCCAGCAGGTTGGTGCCTCGCATGTCAGCTCTCATCCTCTGGACGTACTCGTAGGCCCGAGTTAGTGTGACCTGCACGCAAACACACAAGTGATTAAAGTGGGGATGCAATCAGATCCTGAGTAAAGGAGGGAGAAGCAAACAACTCCTGTCGAACCGCAGCGCCTGTGCAAACATGTTGCCAGGATAAATTTACTGTTTGTTATCAGATGCACTAATTAGCCTGTGAGGGAAGCAACAAATTAAATCAACCCTTCTCTAATAAAGACAGCACAAACAAACACACATTAGCACCTGCCTTAAAATGACCTCAGTTCACATGGTGGATAAACATAGCTGTCAGTGCAGGAGATGGAGGGACACGTCCTGCCTAAGTGAAAATGCATGAAAGGCCACCATATGGCGAGGAGAATGTGGAAAGACTGTTTGTGCTTGCAGCCCCGGGTCTGGATAAAACCTGATACTCTGCTACTAAGGCAACCCAAGAACTGACCTATTGCCTGATTAGAGAGTAGAAAACAGAACAGATAGTCCTGAACGACTGAATGACATTTTGTGTTCAGAAAAACATCATCCAAATGCTCCGTGTGTTCTCGTTTACTGGAAGGGATTCACAGATATCATGAAAAACACTGAAAATCTTTTAAAAATACCCAATTCAGGGGCAAAGCTCATTAGGTAATACTGACATCAGTGCAAAGCTTGCTGGAGGTGAACAGGGGCTTGATGGTGGTACCAAATCCCACAATGTTGAGCATTGTGCCAGAAGGTAGACTCTTGAGTGCCACCACCATGGCTTCCTGTCAGAATAAGAAAGCATATACAGGATGGAGCCAGAGTCATATACATATATATACATTCTCAAATCTGAACTTCATGTTTTATTTGCATGCTTTTGACTACTGCTCACTTTCACACGCTGGATGTTGGCGCCACTCATGCTGCCACTGCGATCAATGAGAAACAGCAGCTCCCTGGTGGCTTTGTGCACTTCCAGAGGTTCACGCAGCAAGTCGGGGCAGAAATTGAGCATCAACACAGGGCTGCACAGAATGTCTTTGTGGTATCGCTTCCTGACAAACTCCAGCTGCAGGCGAAGAAGGAAAATCAGCAATGAAAGCTTAACGTCTTGAGAAAGGTGTATTTAAATGCTTGACAGCAGGAAAAAACGAACAAACCTTTCTTTCAGGTTCTGAATCCTTGCGGGTGCATCGGATGAAATCTCGACGGGAGCAGATTTGCTGTTCATATTGGCTGAAGGAGAGCCTGCCTCTCTCTAAGATGACCAAGGGGCTGTGAGGTTCTGAGGAAGGGTTTAAAAGTCAGAATAAAAAGAAAATCACAGCAATGAAAAGTTCAGACCTTCCCAAACCACTTTGTCATCGCTCACCGCTGAGGTGCAAAATAATCTCTATGTGTCTGTCATAGGGATGCTCCTGTGCCAAGGTGATGTAGGTGGCAGAGGCACTTTGGGCACTTGGATCTGCATCTGCCCTCAGAGCGTGAGTAGGGCTCTCCAGTCCTATCAATAAAGAGAGGCAAAAAATGAAAATCAGTAAACATATTACAATGTTTTGAATGAGTTAATTTTTCTTTACAGCACACACTAGTGAAGATTAAATCTGTTTCATCGTCTGGCTGTGTTTGGACTGAGATCGCCTATGAAGCTATTCATTTTATTCAGTAATGAGATTGCCTGCTGTTCTCATATTTCATAATGGTTGAGATGAAAACCACTGAATCAGCCTTATTTGAGGAGACAGGCAGTACCAGCCAGCAGACAGGCCCCTCTGACCAGCAGCTGGAAGTTCAGCTCATAAGGTGCCAGGTTGACAGCTGGGCTGGTGAAGATGGCGTGCGCACACTGCTGCTGAGAGTGCACGATCCGATCTTGTTTTCCTGAGGTGGCACCAAAACAACTGGTCGCCCTACAAAAACAAGAAAAAAAGGCGCACAATGGGAAGTTTTTTAGGAAAATAATATGAAAGAAGTGGGGGGAAAAAATCAGGAGTCCACGTCTGATAAATACCCAGTTTCATCAGACTTCCCTCCACTTTCACTCTTGCTTGGAGTCATTTTCCCAGTGACAAGCGGGGTAAGGAGTGTGGGGTAGACGATCCGAATGGCTCCGTTTTCTAATGTGGGAAGTTCTAGTGTCGTGCTTATGATGATCGACACTATATCCATGGGGCCAATGACTCCGGTGCCCACGATGAAAGTGGTTCTCTCCAGGTCCTCATCCAGGATCAGATGTCCTAAAGCCCAAAATACAATGTTGTGTTAGAACCTTATGTTAAATTTTCAAGACTGTCTGCGACATCATTAATAAATATGAAAATACATGTAGATGAATGTGAAAAGAGCACATGATTGAAAACCTAGCACACAAACGCACATTAATTGCTGGTATTTACTCAGAATAATCCATCACCATCAGCTGAATTAAATAAACTGTTCTGTGGTCTGCAGTTAAGTAGATATGTTTCTACTAAGTGAATGCCGTTACAACATTAGGCAGGGATCCAGATCAGATGGCCTTCCTCATCTGACACAGAACGGACTTACCGTACTGAAGCCACATTATTACTGCAGCATCAGTACACAAATGTTTTGCAGTTATATAAAACATTTTTATTATAAGCTAAAAGCCGATTTTATTGCTTTAGTGTCATGCAGCATCAGCATCAGTATCAAGGGCTTTTCAAACTAAATATATGCATTTCACAAGTGTAAAGATGGCTTTTTCAGATAGCCCTCTCTACGTCTGCGCTAGACTGTCTGCAAGGAGAGAAGCAATGAATCATGTCTGCAGCAGTATCCATAAATAATATTATATATCATTTATAATATTATATATATTTAAATGCAAGCTGGTATAACTAATGTTTATTCCTTACAATTCTGAAATTGTATCAGAGAAAAATGTAACAACTTCAACATAATATTTTTGCCTTCACGGCATTCTTCCATCCTCCCCCTCACCGTTGGTGCATTGCATGTCTAGACTGGGGCTCCCACAGCAGCCCCACTCCAGGCCATTCCCTTCAAGACCAACTCCAGGGCAGCAATCCAAACAGCAGTCCTTTAACTTTCCTCGGCTTTGGATCTGGACCCCAACCAACCGGCCTGCGATCACGGCTTCAAAGCCCACCACAACCTCCTTTTCACCGAGAGGGTATATGAACACACCTGGATGAAGGTTACAGACACACAAGCTGCTAAGACACATAAAACTGAAACAGGCTTTTGCTAAAGAAATGTTCATAAGTAAAATAAGTACAGTAGATATTTCTAAGATCGGGGGATCTGGAGCCAGTTGCATACCTTAAGTTCTCTTCTTAGGTAAGACATAATATGGAAAACCTTAATACGTTTCTTTTGTCAGGATACTAGTTTAGCTCGCTGGGTTGAATAGGTGACTGAGCTGTTGTAGGGTTTATGGAAGAGCCTGGGTTCAAATCTACCCTTGAGATTGGTCACTGCGTGTCTTTCTCCCAGCTTTTCTTAACCAAATTTCCTTCAAAGAACAAGATATTTTTTCACTGAAAGATATTTTTCAGCAGTAAAATAAACAACAATTGCTTTGCTTTTTACCTTACATTTTGTGCTAAGTTTACTCTGTCGTAAAGGAATGAATCCAACAAACACATTTGTTTTTTTTTAATTTCCTCACTTATTGTAATAAATCTGGCTATACTGTTAAGTTAGAGTCAGGGCTATAGGTCTTTTCTTCTTCTTACTTGGTAAGTTAGGTCTTTTGTGCATCACTTTGACTGGCTGTAAGGTATTCATTAAGTAGAAGATAAGCAGAAAATCTTACTTGAATAAATGGTAAATGGTAAATGGCCTGTATTTATATAGCGCTTTACTAGTCCCTAAGGACCCCAAAGCGCTTTACATATCCAGTCATCCACCCATTCACACACTGGTGATGGCAAGCTACATTGTAGCCACAGCCACCCTGGGGCGCACTGACAGAGGCGAGCATCAAGGGCTTTTAATAAAGTAAACACTTCAAGGAAAACTTAGGGAGAAGACTTAAAGTTGTTTTGTGCCATCAGCTCCTGCTGCGCTGCCTTCATGGCATATAATGTGTAAGACAGTGGCAGCTTTTTGAACAAATTTAATAGGGGCAAAGCAAATACTATGTTTAGTCTTCTGGAACATTCATACAGGGGCTCCTGATTATTAAAGGAAGTAAAAAACTTGTCAGTTATTCTGAATATACAGAAAATTAATAGTCATACTACTATTGTATGTTTGCTTGTTTATTTCATCGAATGGCCAGTTTTGGTCATGTTGGTTTTAGATGTCTTTGATAATGATAAAGTACAAATAAACATGAAAGAGATTTGTTGATTTTTACTCTTCATCTTTACTTCAAAGTATCTGGTGTTCCTCACGGACCAAGTCTTGTCCCACTCCCAATTTTAATCTGGGATTATCATTATCCTTTGCACTCAAAAACTCTTTTTCTTGTGTCTCGTGGTATATTATAATATCACAGTTTAGCTACACTAAACTTGGCAGTTAGTACTCACCTTCTACAGACTCTATGTCAGCGTTGGCATAGGTAAGGTGTGCAGTGATGCCCATGGAGCAACCATTAGCACAAGATTTGATGCAGGAGGCTTTGAGTAGCAGTGGTTTCCATGTAGAGCGGTTTCTCAGCCCCACCATCTTTTCTGTAAAATTAAGCCTCTGCCCTGCTGGTTGGATCAAAACACAGGTACACAAATGGCCAGCACAGACAGGAAGGGGAACATGTGAGTGTGCATTTAAATTCTCTCATTTTCTATTCAGAGCACAATTACAATGATCCTTGTAAACCAGACCTGATTTTTGCTGCTCAAATTAACACTAAACAAAAACAGATAAGTTCCCAATTTTATGTGTATACACAACGCAGGCCATATATTTCTTGTTTATATGTGCAGGCATATCAGTTATTGGCCATCTAACATCCTATCGTGTCTCCTCAAGCTCGTAGCAACCAACTGTGATAGCTGGAGTATAACAGGCTTGGTTAATCATTAACACTGCAGGTCAGCACTTGCTCCATTATGCATCATGCCTAGCATTTGCAATTAGCTGCTAATCTCTATGCAAAGCCACATGTTCTTAAAACTGTAGTGCCATACTTACTTCAGTCTTTTCTAACTGCAGGAAGAAATAATACAGTATTAAAACTTGTTAAGATATGTCCTAATTTTCATGTATGTAATTAAAACTGTACTCAATAAGTCTTCATGACTGATCACTTCATAACTGTAAGTGCAACAGGTGCTGAAACCTATGTATAGCTTACTTAGTGAGTGGTAGGGTGAACTAAACTCTGTGTGTGTGTATGTACGTGTGTTTGAGTATGCACACATGGGTGCATTTGTGTGCGTGCGTCTGTGTGTGTGTGTGTGTGTGTGTGTGTGTGTTTGCTGTGTTCAAGGTAATGGTCTTTTCACATCTACCTTTCTAACAAGATCAACAGCCTCCATCTGGCTACTGTGCTCTCAGTGCATAACAAGCAAATAAATGCCTGGTTTGTCAAAGTAGGGCAAAGTAATACTGCTAGAACACACGTGAAAGGAAAAGTACAACAGCGGCCCTCTTTGGGCTATTCAGAACAAGATCTCTGACAAAGCTAATGAATAATCTTGATAGAAGATCTGTTTAGGTTTATTGCTGACAAAAAAAGTAAGACACAGATAATGACATCTTTACACAGTAAGTGTGTGCATGTGTGCATGCATATAATACATATTGTAGAATAAAGATGAAAATTATGTATGCATGTACATATTAACCTTCAAGAGTTGTTCCTGAAACAAGTATGTATATATATATATTTATATATATATGAAATATGAAAACAAATACTGCAACATATCCTGTAACATATTCAGGTGCATGAAAAGTCGCCATGGCACCCACTATTCAAACTGTATGCATTAAAAGTAGACTGAAATCTTAGAAAGTGATGATCCTGTGTTTGTTTGCCAAGACTTAATCAAGCAGTCCGGTGTTTGCAGTAGCAGAGGTGGTTGCGAATTGGCTCTGGGCAACACTGCAGTCTCCTCATGACAGTTACAATCCCCAGATAACAAGCAAAATAATCGTCCAGGAACACTTACTGTGCTGTGTCTGCTAATTTGCCTCTCTGTCCAGTCCCTGCATCACTCCGCCACCACATCTGCTTGCGGGTTTCCCAAGTGATACGTTAGGAGTTTTCCTGTTAACAGATACTGCTTTCTGCTCTCCCTCCCTCCCTCTCTGTCTCTCTCGCTCCCTCCTTCTGTCTCTCCTTGCCTCTGTCCATAAATCCAGCAGTTGCCCTATAAAGAAAGTCAAGTCACAAAGCACTGTCACAAATGCATATTCATTAATGAACAACAAATATGGTACAAAGCTAATAGCTGATAAAAACATCTTCATGTACAACTGATTATTTGGCCCGTTCATGCATCTACTGTAGCTACATAAAGTCTGTACAAATGTGTTTTCATTGCCTGGCAACGCATTAAAATGACTCTTTCAGATTAACAACAGGTCTCACTGCTGCTATCAATCACCAGCATGCATCTCCACACGAACCCACATTTCCTGTTATGTGAAATGTCATTTGCTTACCTGCTTTGACTTGAGCCAAGGGGATGATCGGAAACTATGATCGGGAACCTGATGTTGAGGCAAAAGCTCAGATCGGTAAGTGAGGCAGAGCCTGCTTTTCATCCAGACAATTGGCCGTGATGGTAGCAGCACCATAATTCATGGCTAATGGTTTGGCTAGGGAGAGAAAGGGGGGGGGGGGGGGGGGGGGGGGGTGATGTGTTCTGCCTCTCCCAACAGGTCAGTCAGAAGCAGCAGTAGGCATGGGGAGGTGACACCAAGGAAGGAACAGGTTTTTGTCCTCCAGTCTACATTTCAGTGGGTCTAACACTGCAAAGAATTAAAAAATTAATTCAATCTGTCATCTGAGACCATGGTTTGAAATATAAATTTTACAGAATTTTAAAAAGTATTAAAAATGTGTTAAAAGAGCATCACAGTTGGGTTCATATCTAGTTAGACAGTGAAAGCAGTAAAAGTTCTGGAGTTTTGAATTTGACAGAAACTCTAGCTATGCAAATTAAGCTCATTGTTATATAAGTATGAGAGGCGCCTTCATGAATGTAAAGAGGTTTTAGTTCAGGATGCAAACCTGTAACTCAAGAACAGAAAGGCCTGATTAAACTGCCAGGTGAAAATGGATGAACTTTAACTAAAAATAATGGGAAGAGTGTGCAGAGGGAAAGAATGACTGCAAATGGAACTGGGTCACTAATGTTCACTAATGATGCAAATTCTAATATTCATGAAACTAAATTTAGGGCATTAATCGCTGATCAGATTCAGTCAACTGCTGCAAAAGTGATAGTGTGGCGCCACACAACACAGGGGGATAGTGACAAACTGAACCAGGGGCTTCTTTAAGCAAAGAAATGTAACAATCTTAAAGCTTGGACGTCTTTTACTGTTTGCGAAACTGTAAGCAGAGAGACTCACTAACAAGCAGCAAAAAACAGCTGCAGAAAAGGCCTGGCAGAGCGTCACAAAAAAATGCTGATTAAAGAAACTTAAAAAATGAAAACATTTCTGTCACTGCTAAACTTAATGTCATATATGTAAGCAGATATATAGATAGAACATTTTGCAAGACAAGTAACTGTATTCGTTTTATTGATTATTTGTTTATTTGCTTAGTTTTATCCACTACTTTTTGGCAGTTCAATGTGGTACAGGTGTGTGTGTGTGTGTGTGTGTGTGTGTGTGTGTGTGTGTATGAGACAGAAAAGCAGATACATACAAAGAGAAAGGAAGCAGGTAAGGTCAGCATAGTAGAGTACCATCTCCTGATAGTTCACCTGAAGAGCACTCTGTTTGTTTTTGATGTTCATGGGAAGACATGAGACACTGTACAATACTGTCTGTTTTTTATATTGCATCATTCTTTATCATTAAATTAATTAAATGGTGCATCCAATAAGCACATATTAAAATGCCATATTTGTATTTATTTATGATGACTATGAGTACATTGCTAAAACTCTTTTTTTTGCTTGTGAATTGTACAACAGAAACACAAAGGCAGGTATAGGGAGAGAGCATGGGGTGATCTGGCTAACCTTTCTTCCCTGTGCCTTTAAATCCAGTATAACTGAAATTGTGTGAAAATGTAAATGTAAAAATGTTATTAATATGTTGCATTTTAAATAAATGATCACACTTGAGCAACCAAACAGTAATTAAAACATCCCTATGATGTTTCTACAGCTAGCTAGCTTATTAGCTAGGCTAGCTTAGCTACTTAGCTGCGAGGATTCTAGTTGCTCCTTTAGCTGACCGATATAGACTATATTCAGCCATTCAAATAATATATTGAGTACACCTAAACTGAAAAGAATTATTTTATTGAAATGGAAAAACGTGAAGTATTAAATGTCTGCATATAATAACCGATTCATATTAACTGTCAGGCTAACTCCATTTTATTAATACAGCAGATCTAAAACAACAGAAATTAATCCAGCCTAAAGTGTTGGATCAGAAGAAGCTGAAAGCTTTGCAGAGTCCAAAGATGCCGAAGCTGGAGGAAAGCATACAAGCTAACAGCTTAAGCTAGTTAGCTGTAGAAGTAAAGATGGATTTCTTTGAAGAAGCTTAAAATAAGAATAATGACATTGGCCAGTTAAGTAACTTTGTATTAACAATTCAAAGCAAAAGCAGTTTCTTACTTTATTATTTTTATCAATATAGTCTAAGGAACACAGTCAC